AGAAAAAGAACAGTGTGAGGAGGAAAAGAAACCATAGGCATAATGGGAAAGAAGCAAAGGTGGAAAGGGTAGGTGATTACAGGGCTCTTCATTTGGTGCAGGGCTAGGGGATTCATGGAGTGAGGAAGGGAAGGATGCCTAGGTTATAGCTCATGACCCTAGTATAAAATTTGGTTGACAGTAGACTAACCTGTCATTCTGGGCAAGGTCTGTGTAATGTAACAATTTGATGTAGCAACTCAAAGGTAGCCCTGAAAAAATAATTATACCAAACACGTAGTCATTGAAAAATATATAATGTGATCTCAGAAAAAAACCCCATAATTTTATATATGCTTTAACGTCAACTTTGTAAAATATACATAAGGATTAGAAGATAAAAACAGAAATAGTTAAGCCAATACAATTGTGTGCACTCTCTCAAAAAGTATAGTTATAATGTTCCTATAGTATTTTTTCAAGAGATAAATCAATCATCCCTTTACTTTACTTTAAAAAAATATTTTATTCAGTAGTCCAACTATTTTATTTTCTCTGAAACTTTTATTAAGTAGCTGGTACTTAATATTTGTCTTTCCAATGGCTTCCTTTTTACTTTCAGATTCTTTTGATCTCTCCTCTCCATTTTTAAATTCTTTTCTCCATAGTGCACTTCAGCCTAAGTTCATTTGGTTTTCTAATTCTCTTTCCCTGAGGATTATCACTTGTAGGACAAACACTAGTGGAGTGAATCCCAGGAGTTCAGTAATCTCCACTTATATCTAAACAAGAGGTTACAGGTTTGAGGTTCGGCAAAAAGTGCTTGTTTTGAATACTGTGAAAGATTTCAAAGGTAAAGTAAGCATTGCTAAGAGAGTCATTCAAAATAGGGTTGGGAAGACCCTGAGGAAGCAGTTTATGCATGCCTCTTTCCATTTTTGGAGCGCCACGGATTTTTTACTTTTGTCAGCAGCAACTTGTCCATTACACGTGGACCGCCTTCTGGAACACATCCTGTACTTCGGACTAAAATAGAGATAAGGTCCCATCTATTAGCTAAGTAGCCAATAAGTGTGTTAGATAGTTTAACTCTGTCAGCACCAATCATAATTCCATTGAAACAAGTTGTGTCACCTTGTGGTTTTTGCCTTGGTAACTCTGCACTCCCCGCTTGCACCTCCAGAGCACACTTTTTAATTTCTGTCCACTCTGTCTCCTGGATTGCAATCCTTAAGACCCCAAGTCAACACTTCTGGTTGCTTTACAGCCGCTTCTCCTTGGTTGACAATACAGACAAAGGGGGTTATTAAAACCTTTAGGAAGGCAATCCCATGCATTTATGAAATTTCTCTTCCTGGAAATATTTAAAAGGGGGACATCTGAGCATCTCTTACAGACAGTACCTAGGTTTGGGGTAGAAAGAGAAGAAAGATCCAATGGGATGATCTCCTTATTTACGAAACTACATTTTTTAAATAAAAGTAGGGATATAGATTCTGACAATGGACCAAAATATATAAAAATAGAACTTCAAGGAAAGCTATGACAACTGGTTAGCTTACTCTTTATTGCATACCTTTGTTAAAGAATTTTTAATAATCCAAATATAGACTAACATATTACAAAGCAGACTCTTAAAGTATACTTTGTTAAATGCTAATTTTGGAGTGCCTTTGATATTTTCCACTGTCAACTACACAATAGCTTTTAAAATGTTCCCAGCAGAGGGGTGCCTGGGTGGCTCAGTTGGTCAAGTGTCCAACTCTTGATTTTGGCTCAAGTCATGATCTTGAGGTTTGTGAGTCTGAGCCCCTTTCAGGCTCTAAGCTGACAGCGCAGAGCTTACTTGGGATTCTCTCTGCCTCTCTGCCCCTCTTCACCTCCCCTGCTCTTTCTCTCTCTCTCTCTCTCTCAAAAATAAAATAAATAAACATTTAAAATCAAAATAAAATAAAATGTTGCCACTAGATTGATTATAGAGTTCTCTAACATGTTATAGTAAAATATGCTTTAAATGAAATGAATTTGGATTATAATCATTCTTAAAGCTATCAAGTGAACAACAATTTAATTTGCCTATTTTTCTTTTTGCAATAAATTAACAATAATAATACACATGAGTTGGATTATGTATTATTTCTTTTCAAGAAAATGCTAAAGGGGCATCTGGGTGGCTCAGTTAATTAAAGCATCTGACTTTGGCTCAGGTCATGATCTCTGAGTTTGGAGTTCGAGCCCTGACTTGGGCTCTGTGCTGACAGCTCAGAGCCTGGAGCCTGCTTCAGATTCTGTTTCTCCCTCTCTCTCTCTCTCTCTGCCTCTCTCTCACTCACATTCTATCTCTTTCTCTCTCAAAAATAAATAAAACATTAACAAAAAGAAAATACTAAGTATAATTCAACAAAACACTGGCATTTGCAAAATATACAAAGCAACTAGTATTGATAAATGAAAATGGTAACACTGTATAAAAATTTATGACAATCTTAGTGCAAGTTTGGCATCAACCATGCTGGTATCGGTGTCCAGCAATAAACTTTGCACTTTTCAAACAGGTTTTAAATATTCTCTGATTTTTAGATGGTATTATTCAACAGGAAAGTTTCATAAACATCATGAGGTAGGTAGATTAATGTTGCATTTCACAGATTGAAGCAGTTGGAAGCAAAGTTTTTAATTTTTATGACATGATTTTTAATTTTATGACATGATTGCATTTCTTATTAGCCATGTTAAAACTTTAAGGCAAGGAAAATATTGAAATCTGTAGAAGAATGTTTATTGTAAGTATTTACAGAAACAGCTTAGGGCACCTGGGTGGCTCAGTCGGTGGTTTGTCTCTGTGCTGAGTGTGGAGCCTGCTTGGGATTCTCTCTCTCTCCTCTCTCTGCCCCTCCTCTGCTCATGCACTCCCTCTCTCTCTCTCAAAAGTAAATAAATAAACATTAAAAAAACCCAACTCAATCAAAAATTTTAATTTGCTGAATTTTAGTGGGCTTTCTGTGTTTTATCTATTCATAAAACAGATTTTCTAATGAGGCAGTGAAAAGAGCAAAGAGAAAGACATTGGTTGTTTTAGTAGAGTTCAAAATCTTTTGCTGCTCGTTATTTAAAAATATAATCTAGATTTTTAATTTATACCATATTAAGGTTTTAAATTTGCTGCCAATTTACCTAGCTCTGCAGCTTTGCCTCGTTAAAATTATCCTCCTTTCCTTAGGTATAGTTGGATATACTTTTGTTGATTGTCTTAACAGTAAAACTGTTTTGGTCCAATGAAATTTTGCTGAATACTATGTGAATTTAATTTTCCTCACTTTTTTTTTTTTTTTTTTTTTTTTTTTTTTTTTTTTTTTTTTTTTTTTGCACAGAGAAACATTAGCTGGCAACAATCTAATTCCTGCGACTTCTAGAACTGTAATGTTCCTGGCTAGTGACAGCCACATAACAGATGAGAGTAGTGGGGCAAGACTAGACTGGCCACAAGGGTTCCAGTCATTTGTAACAAGGTTATTTTTCACTCTCATGAGTGCATGAAGGAATGCCTTGAATATATCCCCTCACCCTCAAACAAACATATTAACAAAGTGACAGATTTATTCAGTTGGAGAGGGTAGATTCCCATTGATGTACTTTTACTCTTACTGTTGAATTGTGAATTTCATTGAGAGATGGTTAAACATTGCAAAAATTTTGGTCCATTGTTGTTCTAGCATTAAAAACGAACCCTTTAGTTCTCATGGCACCCCAAATGCCATCAGGATTCCACAGGGATTATGTGCTGTATTGTTTACTGTCAGTTTAATGGATTTGACCTGTCTTTCAAAACAATATGTCAAGCAAATTTTAGTGGTTTTTGTTTGTTTGTTTTTTTTAAGATGAGAGTATTACTATAACATTTACAACACAGGAGGCAAAACCCAGGTTTGTTTGTTATTTGTTTTTTTTTTTTTATTTA